GTCTGCAGAAGCGCTTTTTCGAGGACACTTGCTTCCGAGAGCGCGCGGGGCGCTTGGGCGTCGGGGCAGTCGGGGTAGACGGTTCTCTTGTCGCGGCCGGCCGGCGGCGCTACAATTTTTGGATTTGCTATTGGTTCGCGTTGTCATTTTCCTTTGCCCACCTTTCCATCATTCCTTCCCTATCTCTTTTCTTTTCGGCTTCGGAGTCGTGGGGCGCTGCTGTTTTTTTCGACGCGGCCGAGGCTATGCGTGCCAGCAATCACAATGTAGGTTGCTGCACGCTTTTCCTCAAAGGTTTGCCACGAAGTACTTTTGTTGCCCCGACGTTCCTCCTGGTGCTGGGCCTTTTTTTTCCGGGGTGGGGTGGCGTAGCGACGTGGTGGTGCGGGGTGGGTGGGCGTTTTCTGAAAACGGAGATGAGGTCGCCGCGCTGGGGAACTTGGCGTTCCTGCCCGAGAAGGCGGTGGGTGGTGTCTTCGACAAGTTACAGCGGCTTTTCGCCCCAGACGAGCGGGAATTGGTCGAGTACTTCGGGGCTACCTGGCGGGGGGGGGATTTGCATTCTCACGGGATGTTCTGTTTGTTCCCAGATGGATGGACATGGTGGGGCGTGCCCGCAGCGGCGCGCCCATTTGCCTACTCTGCGCGCCCCTGCTTGCTATCTTTTTCTTTTGGCCGGCGGGCGGGCGTCAGGGTTGGCATGCCCATCCAGACCGCGCGCAAACCGTTGGTCGGCAAGGCTCCCGCAGTGGACGTGCCGAGGACCACGCCGACTTTCCGTATATGCCAGCCTTCGGCGAGTCCGGGCGCCCGTCATGCGAGGCGTGGACTGTTGCGTAATTTCGGCTGTAGCCAGGATCAGCTTTTCGGGATGTGCTTTTCGGAAGGTGCAGTTCTGAGCTGCACTGACCGTTGCTTTCAATGAGCGATAGTTTCACCTTCGGCGGTTGGGGGGCGACATCAATGGCGCAACCAATAGGGGATAGCTAGTCCCTCGGCGGCCGAGTGCTGAAATCATGGCGCAACCCATCGGAGCCAGTTGGGTTCTGCGTGGACGAGGGCGTAACCTAAAGAAAAATTGCTCGGAGCCTCCGGGCGCAACCAACGGCGCAAACAATAGGATCCATTTTTGGTTCCCAGCGGGGGAGGGCGTTGCCAATGCCGCACCCAATGGGAGGTAGCTATATTTTCGGCGGCCGATGGCGCAAGCTATGGCGCAAGCACTAGGACACAGGGAAATATCGACGGCCGGGGGCGCAACAATGGCGCAACAAATGGGAGCCGGTTATATCGTCGGCGGCCGTGGGTGCAACCCATGGCGTAACAACTACGAGGCTGTTTTACGGTCGGGCGACGCCGACGATGGCGACGACGGAGACGGCGATGGCGACAGCGACCCCGACACTGACGCCGATCACGGGGATGGGATGGAGGGGAGTCATGCGATTACCGCCCAGGGCCGTGAGGGGGGAGGTCTGGACCAAGATTATCCAGTGAGAGTGATCAGCGGGATGTTTGGACTCAACTGTTACTACTCGGAGCTTTGACGCGCGAGGCGAGGTCAAAGGTTCACCAGTCAGAATGAAGAAATGGTAGGTAGGAGACAAACGGTTACCATGGGGAGCTCTGAGGCGGGAGGCCCGGACCAAAGGATTACTTGAAAGAGTCGAACAGCGGGAGGTCTAGACCTCCCGCTTTCCACTCGGAGCTCTGAGGCGGGAGGTCTGGACCAAAGGGTTACCAGTGAGAGTTTAGACGTGGGAGGTCCAGACCAAACGGTTACCACTCAGAGCACTGACGCGGGCGGTTTGGACCAAAGGGTTAGCAGTGACAACTCAGGAGCGGGAGGTCTGGACCAAACGGTTACAGGTCAGCGCCATGAGGAACGAGGTTTCGACCAAAGGATTAATTCGCAGTAAGAGTTAAGCGCGAGTTTGGGGCCAAATCGTTACCGCTCGGAGCCCTGGCGCGGGAGGTCTGGACCAAGGGGCTACCAGTAATCGCTGAGATCCGGGAGGTCTGGACCAAACGGTTACCACTCGGAGCCCTGGCGCGGGAGGTTTGAACCAAAAGGTTACCAGTGAGAGTTGAGAAGCGGGAGGGTTGGTCAAACGGTTACCACTCGGAGCCTTGACGAGGGGGGTGTGGACCATCGGGTTACCCCTGAAAGTGAGGGAACGGGAGGTTTGGAACACCGCGGTTACCATTCGGAGCTCTGAGGAGGGATAGTTACCAGCATGAGTTAAGAAGCGGGAGGTCTGGACCAAACGATTACCACTCGGACTGGCGTGGCGGGAGGTTTGGACCGAAGCTATATCACTCGGAACTCTGTCGCGGGAGGTCGGGTCCAAACGGTTACCGCTCGGAGCCTTGAGGCGGGAGGTTGGGGCCAAAGGTTTAGCACTGCGACCTAAGCGGGAGGTCTGGACCAAACTGTTACCGCTTGGATCCTTGAGGCGGGAGGCCTGAACCAGAGCGTTAACAGAAAGAGTTGAGAAGGCGGAGGTCTGGACCAAACGTCTACCACTCGGAGCTCTGGGGCGGGAGGTTGGGAGCAACACGTTGCCCGTATGAGTGAAGAACCGGGAGGTCTTGGCCGAAGGGTTAACGTCAGGAGCCTTGACGCGGGAGGTCTGGACCATAGTGTTTCCAGTAAGGTTGCACTGGGTGGGCGGTCTGGACCAAACGGTCAACACTATGAGTTGAATATTTGATGTTCAAGCCTTCTCGCGCCAGCGCGTGGGCGGATCAGCATGTGGTCTTGCCACGAGAGGGCGATGCACGGGGATCATCTCACGAACAACGTCGCAGAAAGGTGCCGTCGAGTTTGTCAACATATCGGGTGTTCGTCTCCTTGTGCGGCGTCCGGATGAGGGAGGGCGTTTAGGTGGATGAGGTATGTTTTAGTGTGGGCTTGCAGTTTCCTGGGGCGGGGGGCGTGAGATCACTTCGGGGCAGTCCCAGGTATCATCGGGCATTTAAAATGCAACTTCCGCATGGCTCTACTCATCCAGCGATGGGCGCCTTCATTGAGGCTCTTCGGGTTTCAATGTCGTTCCCCGTTGTGTTCGTCAGTGGCTTTGTTGAATTGGGGTAGTGCCTCAGTGGAATATGTTCGTTTGTTGGGGGGGTGTTCTGGTCTGTCGTGTTTTCAGTGGTGCACAGCCAGGCTATCAAGTGCCAGTGCCGGGTGGGCACTAACGATATCACTCAGATGAACATGGGCAATTACAGGAATGACACGCCGGCTGCGGTGAAGAGGTGTTCCCATTGCGTGAAACCGACACAATATCAACACTTGTGTCTGTAAGGCCCCTGGGGCTTGTTCCGATGATTTGTGTTTACTAAACGTCGGTGGCCTCCTGTAGGTTTTTGGGGACTAGGTGATTTCCATGTACTTCCAGTTTCTTCTTTTTGAGCCAAATGAGATCTCTTGCCTGAATCTCGCTTCACTGGGGCGGACCGGGATTCATGTCATTGCAGATGCCTGCACACCTCAGCGTGCATCACTTCTGCGGGGGTTGCGCAGGCCATTTGCGAGGGGTCCTTGTTAGACGCGTGTGGGCAGGCACGCTTGCACGCGCAACCTCTTGCAGACCTACCTCGAAACCGGCGACGGCATCGCGTGCGTCATCAATATCGCCAAGTTATACATGGCATCGAACGCGTGAGGGCGCTCTCCTGGATAAATCCCCCGATGGTGCTTGTGACATTCCGGTACTTTTGTGTGAAGACACGACCAGGTCATGATTTTTTCATTGTAGCTCCTGGGAAAGGTTAACGTATGTGCGTGATACAACGCTGCACATAGATTGGTGGTATCTGTTTGGGGTCACGTCGGGGCCGGTGCACCTTGTACTATGTATTTAATTGGTGTGCAATTCGGTCTCAGTGCTAGTCTTCTGGACGCTCCAGCGATGCGGGTTTCTTAGGCGCCGCAGTGGGTACTCATAGCAGGCGCCGGTGGTTCTTCTTCCTTCTGGAGAGTTCCAAACCAGCGATCGACGGGGATTGGCGGGGGTAGGTGATGAAGAAAGGAACGTGGCAGCGCTGCCGAAAGAGAGGGGGGAGAGGAAAAGGTGGGGGCCGTCAGAGGTGCTCGAGGGGAATGGCGGAGGGAAGCATTCTGAAAAGGGGGAGCGAAGCAGAGAGAGTGGAAGGGCAGTGGTGCCAGGGTGTGCAAGGGAGGCTTTCATATGGTCGCTGCGAGGCGCTTCCGTTGCCTCAATGATGGGCAGCCTCGTTTTTCTTGTAGCTCGATCTCGTAGCTCGATCCTGGGTCCGGTGCAATTCGCCAGCAGGTGGCCTTCTCTGGATGGTGGCATGGAGAAGAGCGGTGGCTTGGCGCAGTTCTGAAAAAGAGCTGATGGAACTTATTGATTATCGTATGTACTTGCGTCCCTGCGCATTTGTGTCGAGGGCCGTGCTTGCAGCAATCGTTGCGCTGAGCATGCGCGAGCGGGATGGGGCGTCGTAGTTTCCTTTCCGGACGTGCGCGCGGTGGTGCTGCTGCATGTGATGCTGCTGTTCAATCCACTGTTCTTGTTGGAGGGGGCCTTGTGTGGCTTCTTGGGTTTCTGTGAGGCGCTTTCGGGGTTTCTCTGGAATGCTGTTCTAGATATTGCTCAGTGTTTGGGTTGTCGTGTCCCGCCTCGCATACTACTTGAGGGGCGTGCAGGAGGGGCTCATCACGATGGATGGGGCACTGGACGAAGAGGAAGGGCAGGAGGAAAAACGGCAGCTGGAGGATGAGGAGGGCGGGCAGGAGAAGGGGAAAGAGGGTCGGGAGGCTACTGGACTCACCTGGGGGGCAGAACCGTTGCGGCGGATGTTTGTATCGGCGACAAGTTGCCGGTTCAGTGTAATGTTACCGGGGGAGGTTGGTCGCCCACGTGATGATGGCGATAGGAGGTGGATCTTGATGGTTTCCCGGCGTCTGGAATGGATTGGGGGTCGGCAAACCGTTTGCAGGTGTTTCGGTGCCTCCGTTTGCAGGTTCACCCGGCCTTTAGGAGGGCGCTGGTTGCCATGGATGTTTCATTGGGCAGCGGCGCGGCGCACGTGGGCGCCTTGCCGGTGGGGGAGCGCATGAACTACGCTCAGTACCGGCAGGTTGCTGCTTCATTATAACTTAACATCCCGCTCGCGCCCATGATGCCTCCTGAAAAAGGGCGGGTTAATCTTTTAGTTGTCTCCGCTACGAGGTCGGCGATGGCACCTCCGTTCGAATTGCCGGGCGCTTTTTCGTGAAGGGTCTTCTCACTACCGTCGATGGGGGCGTTATCGTGGTGGACTTCGGCGGTGCCTTGGAAACGCCGCAGGATGCGAGCTTCGTGGAAGTCCTGGGAACGAAGGCGCCAGGCGCGGAACTTCACGCGGTGGGGCTGGTGAAGTTCGCGCCCGGCCAGGTCGATGAGGCGCTCTGGAATGAGGCAGTCAAGCTCGCTCAGCTGCCTCAGCTTCGCCACCTCTTCGCTCCCATCGGCGGAGAGGCTCGAGCGGCGGCGTCTGACGACGGAGCTCCGCGCGGCGCGGGTTTGGCTGAGACCCAGCCTCTCACATCAGAGACTCAGCCGCTGACGGAAGACCAGCTCCGCGCCAACGCTGCGCTGCTGTGCCCGCCAACGCAGCTCGAATTCGAATGAAACACTCGTCCGGTGTTGCTTCATGACCTCTGCCTCTCCTGTCATCTTCATTCTTATTGGAATGACTTTGCATACTCCTCCTTCCTCTGTCCTTTACTCTTCTCAAGGGCTTCAACATCTGACAACGATGATAGTGTTCCCCAGGTGTTCAGAAAAGTTTCGATGCAGAAATTGTTCTCGCTTCGCGTGTCCCCGCCAGCCCATCCAACAACAGTCGCCAGGCGAGTCGACCCGACAAAATGAATTTCAAGGATTTTGGCCTCTTGAGGGCTTCATTGGAGGGCTCGAAAGGCACTTGGAGCCAGCCTGGGGCGGTTTCGAGAGCTCTTGGATGTCTGTTGATAGTTATCTTGAACCATCTTGGGAAATCTTGCTTGACCTTGGAGGCTATCTTGAGCTCTTTGAGGCCCTCTGGGAACAATCTTAGGCCATCTTGGGCGCTCATATTCCTCGCGGGAAGGTGCCTCCAGGCCCAGGGGGAGGGGGTAGGGGGAGGGGGAACCCTTTCCCCGAAGGGGAAGAAGGGGGTTTAGCAGAACGAGCTCGCTAGACCACTCACGCCCTGAAGGGCTTATGGGATTATCGGGAACGCACATTCCACATGGCTCGATGGGCTCTTTGTTGCCTTGCGGTCCTGAGAGACGGGGAGGGGGCGAGGGCACATGGCCAGCCGAGTTCGGGCGCGGCCGGGTCCGAGATCAGCCGACGGCTGAACTCGGACCAAGCTGATCTCGGACACGGAAACTCGGACCCGGCTGAACTCGGACCCAGCTGATCTCGGACCCGCTGAACTCGGACCCGGCTGGTCTCGGACCCGGCTGATCTCGGACCCGGCTGATCTCGGACCCGGCTGATCTCGGACCCGGCTGATCTCGGACCCGGCTGATCTCGGACCCGGATCGCTCTCGCTGCAGCGCGGGCCTCGGTCCGAAATCAGCTGGGTCCGAGTTCAGCTGGGTCCGAGATCAGCTGGGTCCGAGATCAGCTGGGTCCGAGTTCAGCTGGGTCCGAGTTCAGCTGGGTCCGAGTTTTTGGGTCCGGGATTCCGGGTCCGAGATCAGCTTGGGTCCGAGTTCAGCTGGGTTCGAGTTCAGCTTGGGTCCGAGTTCAGCTGGGTCCGAGTTCAGCTGGGTCCGAGTTCAGCTCGTGTCGGGGGGTGAGGGCGGTGCGACTGCGCCGAAAGAAAGTGGTCGCGGCTGGGGGGGCGGTGCGCTGGGCTGCTGGGGAGGGGGTGGGGGGTGGGGGGGGGGGTGGGCGGTGCGCCAGGGGAGGAGGGGCGGTGCGACGACGCCGAAATAAAGTGGTTACGGCGGAGGGGGCGGTGCGACGCCGAATGGCACTGGGCTGCTGGGGAGGGGGGGTGCAAGGGGATGTGAGGGCGGTGCTACGGGGATAGGTGAGGGCGGTGCGACGACGTCGAAATTTGGTGGTCGCGGCGGAGGGGGCAGTGCGACGCCGAAGGGCACTGGGCTGCTCAGAGGGGGGGTCGGGGGGGTGTGCGGGCGGTGCTACGGGGGGGTGAGGGCGGTGCGACGACGCCTAAATAAAATGGTCGCGGCGGGAGGAGCGGTGCGATGGGCTGCTGGGGAAGGGGAAGGGCGGGGGGGATGGCGGTGCGCCAAGGGGGAGGAGTCGGTGCGACGACGCCAGAATAAAATGGTCGCGGCGGAGGGGGCGGTGCGCTGGGCTGCTGGGGAAGGGGGAGGGCGCGGGGGGGGTCAGGGCGGTGCGCTGGGGGGGAGGGATGGCGGTGAGACGACGCCGAAATAAAGTGGTCGGGGCGGAGGGGGTGGTGCGCTGGGCTGCTGGGGAAGGGGTGGGGTGGGCGGGGTTGGGCGGTGCGGCGGGGGGGGCGGTGCGACGCCAAAATAAAGTGGTCGGGGCGGAGGTGGGCGGTGCGGGGCCGAAGGGCACTGGGCTGCTCGGGAGGGGAGGTCGGGGGGTGACGGCGGTGCGGCGACGCCGGAATTACATGGTCGCGGCGGAGGAGGAGGGCGCTGGGCTGCTGGGGACACGGAAGGGCGGGGGGGGAGGGCGGCGCGACGGGGGGGGAGGGCGGTGCGACGACGCCGAAATAAAACGGTCGCGGTGGAGGGGGCGGTGCGCTGGGCTGCTGGGGGAGAGCGGGGGGAGGCGGGTAGGCGGGGCGGGCGGGGGCGGTCGGGGCGATGCGACGCTGACATGAAGTCAACGCTGCTGGGCAACGCTGGGGTGAGGGCGGTGGACGCGCCGAAATAAATATGTTCGCGGCGGACGGTGCGATGGGCTGCTAGGGGGGGGGGGGGAGGGGGGAGGGAAGGTGAGGGCGGGGTGGTAACGGCAGTGCGGAGAGCCGAAATAAAGGTCGCGGCGGAGGGGGCGATGCGCTGGGCTGCAGGGGGATGGGCGGGGGGGGGGTGGCGGTGCGACGGGGGGGGCGGTGCGACGACGCCGAATGTCGCGGCGGAGGGGCGGCGCGCTGGCTGCTGGGGAGGGTGGGAGGGGGGGGCGGAAGGTGATGAGGGCAGTGGGTGTGTGAAGGCGGTGCAACGGTGGTGTTGAGGGCGGTGCGACGACGTGGAAATAAAATGGTCGCGGCGGAAGGAGCGGTGTGCTGGGTTGCTGGGGAAGGGGCGGGGCGGGGGGGGGCGGCGGTGCGCCAGGGGAGGGGTGGGCGGTGCGACGACGCCGAAATAATATGGTCGCGGCGGAGGGAGCGGTGCGCTGGGCTGCTGGGGAAGGGGGATGGGGGCGGGGAGGGAGGGGGCGGGGAAGGGTCAGGGCGGTGCGACGAGGGGGAGGGAGGGCGGTGCGACGACGTGGAAATAAAGTGGTCGCGGCGGAGGGGGCGGTGCGGTGCGGTCGGGGCGGTACGAACTGACGTCAAATCAACGTGTGGGGTCGGTATGACGGCGCCGAAACAAGAGGCACGCGCGCCAATGGTCAGACAACTTCGGGCGCAGATGGGACGCCAATGGGCCAGAGGTGGTGGGGGGGGGCATGGTCCGTCGGTCGGAATAGGCAGACGGGAGGCCACAAGGGGAAGGGGAGCAGGGGGACGGGAGGGCACGCTCGGGCAGACGGGGGGGCACAATGTGTCGGTCGGAAAAACCCTGGCAAGCAAACAGTAACCCCCCCGGCGATATCGCTAGCACAGAAAATAAAATAAATAATTATTTTTGGCGGCGCCCTCCGGCGATATCGCTAACACATAAAAAATAAATTAAAATACTTAATTAATTTGCCCCCCCGGGCCCGAAGCTGGCGGCAACGCGAGGCGACAGCCTGAAGAACCAACGCGCACGAACGTTTGCCAATGGGTTCCCGCCTTGCTAGATCACTGGGAAACTGACGCGCGTCGGAAATCAAAGGTAAATCATAAATGACAAACAATGAAATCACCGCAAGCAACTATACTTGAAAGGACCACCCAAAGGAATCCCAGAGAAATCTCAGAAGGAAGCCCACGCAGAATCCCAAAGGACCCCTATTGGACATTCAAAATAATCTCAAAAAGGAACCCCACAGAAATCGCAAAGGGATCTCAGCGGCAGCTCAAACGAACCACAAAGGAATCTAAGGAATCTGGAAAACGCGGGCTCGCGTGGACATAAGCAAACCCTATTGCGGCCGCAACAAAGAAATTGTTGTTTTTTTTGTTTTTTTCACGGGGTCCTATGGGAGAGTCCACGGAGGGATATCGCAGACGGATTCCGCGAACCCCCCCGCGATATGTTAGCACATTTATTGAAAATAAAATAATCCACCGGCGCCGGAGGTCGATGGGATGCTCCCTTCAGGGATTGTCGAAGGAATGTCAGAGGAACTCGAAAGAACCCCCAAAGGAATCCCATACATAATAATATCACAAGAAATCCCATGCACGATATCGAAGGAACCAATGGAAGTTCAAAGCAATCTCAAAGGAGCCCAACAGAAATCGCAAAGGCATCTCAGCGGCAGCTCAAACGAACCACAAAGGAATCTAAGGAATTTGGAAAACGCGGGCTCGCGTGGACATAAGCAATCCCTATTGCGACCGCACTAGGGAAATTGACTCTTTCAGGGGATCCTATGGGAGAGTCCACGGAGGGATATCGCAGACGGATTCCGCGAACCCCCCCGCGATATGTTAGCACATGCACTGAAAATGAAATAATCCACCGCCCCGGATGTCGATGTGATGCTCTCTTAAGCAATGGGGTATCAAACGGATATGACCGGAGCCTCAAGGGACCCCCAGAATAACACCAAAGGAACACAAGAGGAGTCTCAAAGGAGTCCCAAAATAATCACAATGGAAACGGCAAGGAATCTCAAAAGAAGCCAATCGGAGTATCAGAGGAATCTCTGACGAATCTCACAGAAACGCACATAATCACAGGAAACGACTCTGGGCAGGTGTGCCTGATCGCTGGGCTCTGGACTACAAGGGGACCGGGCATTCAGAGGCTTGTGGAGGCCTTTCTGGATGCCTCCTGGGAACCTCTGGGGACCTCCCCTCCGCGGACCTCTGGCGACCTGCGGGGGATATCGCTTCCGCCCCGGCCCTGGTGCCGGAAGCGTTATAATTTCCTCTGATGAGGGGGGGGGGGAGGGAGGTTTACTGATTGCTTCCCAGGGTTAAGCAGACGGGGGCCACGGGGCGGAGGGGTGCAGGGGGAGGGGGGGCAGGGGGACGGGATGTCACGGTCGGGCAGACCGGGGGCACGGTCGGTCGGTCTAAATTCGCAGACGGGGCCACTGGGTGGAAGGGCACAAGGGGGGGGCAGGGGGAAGGGAGGGCACGGTCGGGCAGACGGGGGGCACGGTCGGTCGGTCGAAATTCGCAGACGGGGGCCGCGGGGCGGAGGGGTGCGGGGGGGGGGAGGCAGGGCGACGGGAGGGCATGGAGAGCACACGTGCCGGCACGTATCCCAGCACACGGAGGCAGCACACAACCCTGCACGCATCCCAGCACACGAAGGCAGCGCGCGTCCCAGCACACGTCCAACCACACATCCCAGTCCAGCACACATCCC